ATAATGCTGTAATTACCAGGAGATTAATGACTTTCACAAAATAAATAAATCACCATTCCAGTTTTATTTTCTTCTTTAAAAAGGATTTATTTGTAAATTGAGAGGCTGATTTAACTTTGTTTTGAGATGTTTGTTATAAACCAATTTTATAAGTTTTTTAATTTACCATTATAGCTTCAAACTGGAGTTGAAATCAATAGAATTTTAATGTCTTCAGTTTCAAATCTAACACACTTGAGGAAAAAGAAGAAATATTCAAAGGTATGTATATGTAACTTTATTACACATAACATCGTATAGTTTGTTTGTTAATGTTTACTCACCTTTTTGCTATTTATACCTACCCATTTCTAAGAAGGATTTGAAGAAATTTATTAATTTTTACTCCTTCCTTTCCCTTCCCTAGTAACCGTCCAAGAATGATAGTTCTGTGTCTAAGCCTTTCCGTAGCTTTTTATGAATAATGGTCTTTTACAAACATTTATCCTTTTGGCATAATTTCCTCTAGATTCATCCATGTTATACACAGTGTTTCAAATTCTTTACCATTCTTTAGTGTTGCATAATACTTCATCATGTAAACTTACCAAGGTTTCTTTAACAATTCATCCATTTATAAGCACTTGAGTTGTTTCCTTCTCTTTGATATTGTAAATAATGCTGCAATAAACATGAATAATTGCATTTACAAGTTCATGTCACAGCTCATAATTACTTCACGATATATATACCTCATTGTATTGCTGGCTCAAATGATGTTTCTTTCTTTAACCTTTCAAGGAAGAACCAGACTATTTTCCATAATAGGTGTATCATTTTCTATTTCTACCAAACGTGACTGCAACAATGGACTTCAGTGTCTCAGAGATTGTGAAGATGGCACAGGATAGGGCAGGCTTGCAGATCTACTATTCATAGAGTTGCTTTGAGTAATACTTAATTAACTCTATGGCACCGAAAAAGTGTAAGAGTTCCAATCTACACATTCTTACCAGCATTTGTTGGTGAACTTTACTGTCGTTGGTGGAGTGAAATACTATCTCATTGTTGTCATGATCTGCATTTCTTCAGTAGTTAATCATCTTGAGCATTTCTTCATGTGTTTGTTGGCTATCTGAATATCTTCTTTGGTACAGTGTCTTTTTATGCCCTCTGCCCATTTTATAATTAGATTGTTTATCTTTTTCTTGATGATATGCTGCAGCTTTCAATAAATGTTAGAGAAGAGTCCTTTTTCAGATATGTCCTTGCCAAATCTTTTTCCCCCACAGTCTATGCATTCTCTTTTTATTTCTTGGAGATATTTTTGATGCATGTAAGAATTTAATTTTTAGGAGGTTCCAATCATCTAATTTTCCCTTTGCTAACTGTGTATAATTTTCCATTATACTTGATAGAGAATTTGGGCTGCCATCTGTCTAGTCTGCCATCTAACCTAAAAGCCTACTGAATTTATTATTATTGGGTTTTTTAATCTTCACATCTTTAGGTAAATGTGAGTTAAATCAATATTTTGATTAGATGACTCAGTGTTTCAGTTATATTGTATTAAACCTTCCCAGTTTATATATAGTTGTAATTATTGTTATGTGCCACAAAGTCACCTGTGACTCATAGCAACCCTATGTACAACAGCCCTAAACCCAGCTCTATCCTGTGCCGAACCTATTTTCTCTGACACACCTACCCCCATTACCCCAGTCACTGAATGAATCCATCTCATTGAGGGTTTTCCATATATATAAAAATAGGGAACTCTGGTGGTAAGAAGGTTTATTGCAATTCCAAAGGCATGTGGTTCAAGTTCACCAGCTGCTCCACAGAAGAAAGTTGAGCAGTGTCCTCCTCTGCAATTCACTGCATTTGGGAACTTGCTGGAGGGTCAGCTACAGGTCAGGTCTAACTTGATAGCACACAAAAACAAATTTTATATATATACA